AGGTCATGACGCAATTTGCTATTTCCGAGCCGGTTTTTACGAATTGGAACCTGAAATTTTGATATGTGATTAGGGGTGGTCTTACAAATGCCCCCGAGTGAAATGCCGTTTTTTTTTTTTTTAAGCCATAAAAACCCCTATGCTAGGATTCTCAGTTATTGAATGNGATATGTGATTAGGAGTGGTCTTACAAATGCCCCCGAGTGAGATGCCGTTTTTTTTTTTTTAAAGCCACAAAAACCCCTATGCTAGGATTCTCAGTTATTGAATATAGGGATACCTCGCCAAAAAAAAAGAAAAAAAAACGGCATCTGACTCGGGGGCGTTTGTAAGACTGTTTCCAATCACATATCACAATTTCAGGTTCCAATTCGTAAAAACCGGCTCGGAAATCGCTTCTAACCATTTCGTTGACTTCTTGGCTGGCCCAGCTTGTAGTCAGCGTGTTTTTAACATTTGGCGATAAAGGATTCACGCACGGGTTCAAAACCCGACTGGTTCTTCTCAGGCAGCGTCTGACGAGGGGTCCGTCCCCGGAGATCTCTACTCACGAACCCAACGATGTGATCCGGTCGGGTGCAAATGAGCTCTGAGCATATCTTTTATTCGATAAAGGTACACCATTCGACTAGTCAGCGCTGACACGTCTAGTCTAAGGCCACTTGTTACGCTGTCTCTTTTTGGGCTGTCCCTTTTCTCAAAAAGGAACAACTGACCAAAAACCACTTGTCACGTGGTCTTTTTTTGCGTTTTTGAACCTCCCGCAAAGGGACAGCGAAAAAAGATCACCCCATCCTGTCCCTTTTTGGGCAACTTTGTGACAGGGTAGCCCTGTCCTTTTTATGTTGTCCTTTTTTTGAATCTCGCGACANTTTTTGAACCTCCCGAAAAGGGACAACGAAAAAAAGATCACCCATCCTGTCTCTTTTTGGGCAACTTTGTGACAGGGTTGGCCTGTCCTTTTTATGTTGTCCTTTTTTTGAATCTCGCGACACCGTGGACATACCCACACACCCACCAGCATCTCCCATGCGGAAGTGGCTGCCGTCTCTGGCGCTGCTCGCTGGCAGCAGCAGCGGCGCTTGCTTGACTCTAACCTTCAACAGCAGCCCGGACTCTCTTCCGATGGCCGCCGCCGGTATGGATGCCCTGCTGCCACAGCAACGGCGTTGGCCGTGGCGTTGGTTGCCGTAGATGAGGTCCAACGCAACGATTTGTCGCAGGAGGACCTCCTGGAGGAGGACCCGGCCAACGACCTTCCCCGCGAGAGACTTCCGCGGTCGCAGAGACAGAGGAAAGACGTGGAGACATGTGCTTGGGCGCAGCTGTTGGAGGATAAAGACCTCGAGGACAGCACGAGCATCACCGCGAAGCAGTTTCGAGTGGACTTCCGCGTACCCTACACCTTCTTCCTTCGGCTTGTTGCCTTGGTCAAGAGCAAGAACTGGTTCTCGACTGCTGGGAAGGACGCCGTAGGTCGGGCAAGCCACCCAGTGGAGCACAAGGTAAGCTGAATAGATGCTGGATTGTTGGAGTGCAGACTCTCTGTTCAAAACCATCTAGACTGCTGCAGTAAACAATGTTGGTTGGACAAAGCCAGCACGGCAGATCTTTCTTCAACTGAATGTNGTAAGCTGAGTAGATGCTGGATTGTTGGAGTGCAGACTCTCTGTTCACAACCGACTAGACTGCTGCAGTATACAATGTTGAGTTGGTTGGACAAAGCCAGCACGGCAGTTCTTTCTTCAACTGAATGCCGTCTCCAGGACATCCATCCCTTGCACACTGCTTCTCGACTGCTGGTCGCGCTCGGCAGTCTTGTGGTGCACCCGGTCGCTCTTCTTTCACGCACAGCACAGCATAATATTGAGACCGGAAACCTCTGCAGGTGTAGCTACCCTGTACCCATGTACAGCAGTACAGCAGTACGCAAGTAGCGCAAATCGTCACCTCGGTACTGCTGTTCAGCCCAATTGACAGCTGCAGCATTAACAACTGTTGACAGCAGTACTGCTGTATGTAGAGCTGCGCCTACTACTGCTGTAGGCAGCAGGAAGATGTA